ATGAGGCTCCGTATGAAGCTCTTTGAAAAACAGAGCATGCTCGATTGTACCTCAAATGATGTGAAATGTAGACACCAAAGGCTGGAGCTGCTGCAATATTGCTCGACATAGAGGGATGCTTGACTATTGGAAAGTTGAAGTCATCCCTCTTGTCATACAGTCATGTGGAGAGTGTTTTGTCACTCTGAATCCTTATGGATAGATCTAAATATGAAACTGATCAGGTGGTATCACTGGTCTCTTTTATTTCTAGTTCAGGGGGGTAAATCAGAGGAAGGGAATTGGCAATTTGATGGTCATTGAACGATATCAGATATTGATATACTTGAAGCTTAAGTTAAACTTCTCGATCAAATTACCTTGTTTTGACTTTGCCGATCCGAGCAGAATTCCAATTCATATGCATAAAGAAACAGATCAGCAAGAAGGGGAGCACACTTGGTGCCTGTGAGCATGCCTAGCTCTTGCCCCCAAATTGTACATAGATGTTATCTATGAGGAAGTCCAACATTTCACATACTATTTACTGGCAGTGGGACGATACCCCAATTTATCATATAATGGGTAGGTTTCTCGGCAGGATAAAGCCAACGGATAAAAACGATATCCGTTGGGGTCATATGCGGATAGAAATGCAAATATCAAAGGTCAAGTAGGACTACTTTCACTGTTTATAAACAAACATGGTGTCGCCCTCGTCATTCGGCGATCGAGTCAGAATTAACCATCGGGAATCTGGATAAACTACAGGGATAATTGCTATCATTATCAAAAGAACAGTCTAATATACCGAAAATCAGTGTCTAACTGTGACGTAGCTAAGGCATTTTATAAAGTTTGGCAACTTTGGAGATATTAATTTCGAAACAATTTTGCGAGGGCACGAGGCCTAACCAAGCGGGATCAGTAGCCATATCTGAGCTTGTAGACTTCTGCAGCTTGAAACCTTCTCCACAAATCAAAATAGTTGGATTTGGCCGAAATATGTTTGAATTGTTACCTTGTTTCGTTTTGTCACTGTTTGTACATCTGTCTACACTTCTTAACGGTATGACAGGACAGACCGACTGTCAACAATGTCTGACCGTTGCCGTGACGTCTCATAGACTAGGGTTAGAGTAGCTTCCCTTTGACAAAGGGCAGTTACTCTAGCGGACAGACCGATGGATTGCCGCGAAAGGCAATTAAAAACAACTGTTGTTTTGCATATATGTTGCCCCGCCACTGTATAAGAAACAGATTTCAGTTGGAACTATATTGACTACTGTCACTGTCCGACTGACACATCACTTACCCTGTGACGTAATAAATATTAATGCGCGCATCAAAGGTCAAGTAGGTCAGAATTAAAGAATGACATTATATGATAAAGAGGTTATCACGCTTGTGTGTTTGGGGATGGTAAATATCCTGTATTAGGAATCAACACTATGTATTTAGCTCGCCAAGGCTCGCTAAATACAATGTTTATTCCTAATGCAGGATATTTATCATCCCCAAACACACAAGCGTGATAACCTCTATGTATCGGTGGATCACGATTTTTAACTTCCCGATACAAGTATCGATCACAGTCACACACTAAGTAAAAAGTATCGATTCTTACCTTAAATGTTTTCTTGAATAATTGTTACAATAAACACTAACTACTAGTGAAAATGAGTAGTGAAAACGTACATATTTTCATCCAATTTACCATACCTGACACTGCCAACTGTAAATCGTCAGTGTGCCAGGTATATTTGGTCATCCTGTCTTTGAAAAAGATGGCTTACACACCACAGATAAGTGCACATGCAAGTATCGTGATACGTATCGGATCGTGAGTAAGTATCGTGATACGTATTGGATCGTGAGTAAGTATTGTGATACGTATCGGATCGTGAGTAAGTATCGTGATACGTCTCGGATCGTGAGTAAGTATCGTGATACGTATCGGATCGTGAGTAAGTATCGTGATACGTATCGGATCGTGAGTAAGTATCGTGATACGTATCGGATCGTGAGTAAGTATCGTGATACGTATCGGATCACACAGTGGGTGTATCGTCCCAGTCCTACTGTTTTCTCAGTAAACTTCAGATGGCATTTGCTTCCGTTTTTGACAAACTGTCCTGAGCCTCTGAAGATAGATTTGTAACTGTATATGTGGTGACCACATTTTGTAACAAAAGACCCATGGATCAAGGACTGAAGTGAGTGAGTGAGTATGGTTTTACGCCCCTTTTAGCAATATTCCAGCAATATCACGGCGGGAGACACTAGAAAAGGGTTTCACACATTGTACCCATGTCGGGAATCGAACCCGGGACTTCGGCGTGACGAGCGAAGGCTTTTACCACTAGGCTACCCAACCACCCAGACTGAAGTGGATATAACTGAAATATTGTTCAAAATGTCATTAAACCAAACACACCCACTGTTTCTGCAAAACCCCAAAATAACTATTATATTTCTTCATGAAATCTTTTTTGTGTGTTTAAAAAAAGTGGTAAGTTTGTGCCTTTTGCAACTTCAGAACATGTTATATTTCCTTGTTAACCAGTTGGACACTGACGCTCTTTAGGAATGGGTCATTTTCAGTTATCAGTGCAAAAACATTAAATCTTTCTTCATGAGTGTGTTAATATTAATCTTGGGCTTAAAAGTAACCTGTCTATTTTAACTTGCATTCATTTCAGGTATTTTGATTGTGTTTAAGTGTGGAATACATCATCAGAACAGTGCAGAAGATGAAGCATATCCCCATATTACTGTCATGTTTAACTGGCACTGCGGAATATGTAGAACAAAGAGGAATGAGAGTATTGCCCACAATTGTAAACCCAAACCTACCCACGGACTGTGTTGTTCCTTGTGTACATTTGCTTCCGATTTTGCTTTTAAGTGAGGTGGGTGTACAAGGCTTTATTTTGAATCTGGCAGACACCACAAAATTCCAAACTCTGAAAGAATATGTACATGTTGTAGCCTAAACAATATCAAAGATCTGTATCATTTCAGTGTATATGTCCATGCTTAGGAGACATTCAAAAGCAGTAGATGCCAAATAAATATATAATTCCACCTTCAGACCAACAATTCTTTTGCCTTATGGCAACCACAAATTATCTAGATTTAAAGTCTGTCATGATGTATTTCAAGTATGCCTTCAAGAGCAGAAATGGACTTAAATGAAACTAAGGTGAATCTATTTAAACATACTACATGGTATAGGTTTTACATACAATATTCTTTTGTACTGAGCACAACACACACAATACCAATTATACTCTTGTTGAGTGTGGCGTTAAACAACAAACAAACAAAACCAATTATACACAAGTCACATGATGAAAAACAGTAAAATAGTTTCATGAAAGTGTAATGTTTACAAAGGACAACCCTTTTCAACAGAAATATTTTTTCTGGTCCTCAAAATCCAAATTCACTTCATGCCTTTCATGCAATAAACATTTGAATTTAAGTTATCTAAAACTACATAATTGACAATCAAATTGTTCAGTTCTTTAGATGAATATTAACATTTTTCTGAACTTGATAAGAAATTAAAGACAAAAAATATTATTATTTTCTTGATGCACAAGATTTTATAAATATGAAATCAACTTGATTGTCTTGTAGGATGGTTAAAGACTTTTAGTTGTACTCATCAAAGTATATTTTATTCAGTCCAAAAATGTTTTAATGGGTTTATTCTGATTTTTATTAGTTTCTGATAAAAAACAAACAATAAGAAAATATATTAAGTTTCAATGACATATTTATTTAGAAACTAAGCACATCTCAATAAACACTTTTCCCTTACCTTCAAGTAGGAACATCAATAAAATGACTTATGGTTTATTTTGAAGCAAAAGTGTATCTTGAATCTAAGAATTCCTGAGAACTATGAACTTTCAAGAATGGTTATGAGATTTCAAACTTCAAATCAGATCAAATACGTTTTTAGATTTTGGTTAAATGGTTCTGCAGCAACCCAAAGTAGAACTTGGTAGAGATATCTATATCTTAGACTGTACTTGTTTATTTATGAGCAGAGCCAGGGAGCAACCATGGTGACAACAGTTTTCAATCAATATACCACCGTTGACATTCAATGTGTGCCGGCCTTCATGTGACAAGCATGGCCTCAATCCTTCTAAATACCAAGTCTTGTGTAGACTCCTGTAACCATGGGACTTGCACAAGAATATTTCTTCATTAACACCTCTATGCTTGTTTATGTCACCATATGCAACGTTAATTTCATCCAATGAACGTCAGTTTCATCACATTTCGTTCTGCCAATCAGAATGTCTGTAATGATTGACTGCTAATTGATGGCAAAGGTATTGAATTTCATGTGAGTTATTGCTTCACCTGCCAACACGATGACAGCAATGGATACGATGATGGTACTTATGGTTAGTGTGTTTTGGGGCCAAATTTGGTTGTGTTATACTGACTGTTAGACATGTTCGTTTCGGCAATTACGTGAAGGATCTATGTCAGTGGTTCTGGATATGTCCTTGAATGTTGACAATCCAGCGTTGGATACTGTCATGTATCTGTGTGCTGAGTATGCACTTCAAGCATGGAACAGCTTCTCAAGATGGTGGATTGTCATAGGGATTTTGAAATGGAGTATTTCAACTTTGTTGTGACTGTAACCTAGAGTATTCTAATACCTTGTGTGTTCACTTTAATGAGTAATTTCTTTTTGTCTGTCTTCAGCAAGATTTGTCTAATTTTGATGATTTTATTTTGTATTTTTAAAAATGTTTTTGGATAATCTTGTTTCAATTCATGTTGTATAATGTCATTTGAATATGTTTTCCTGATGAATTGAATATCGAAAATACATTTTTTTTTATTTTTCAAGGAATACTTGGAAATATTACCATTTAATTATACTGAATCATGTATATTCTTTTATCGTTTTCATTAATCAATGTGAATATTTGCCAGTTTCATTTCATATAATCAGTTTAATTAACAGTATATTTTGTTTTTTCTAGATTTCAAGACAAGTGATTAATGACCGGAGATTGTGAGACCACCAAGGTTGAAGCGATGGTACATTGTTTTCAAGAACATTTTCTCGACACTCATCTCAGATGAAGCAGATCAGATTGAAAACAATAGGACCGTAACTACAAGTATAGAACAAAAGCCATGTCGTTTCTTCAACTGAAGAAGTACATGTCGCGGCGGACCCGTGGGTATCGTCTTGTGTTTCTCCTCGGCGTCTTCGCCATTGGCTTTTTGTCAGTTAACTATGTGTCCGTCCGGAATCCTCAGTCTTTCCCAAAGTATGACGAACCAATTCCTTACTCTGATACCAACCATCTTTTTATTCATCGACATCTGTTGTCGGATAACTCGACAACGGATGAAGGAATATACCCGCCCTCACTTTTTACGTTGGAACAGATGCGTCAGGGTGCCGTTATCCTCCATGTGTTTGGAATGGTGTACATGTTTGTGGCACTTGCTATTGTCTGTGATGAATTCTTTGTGCCTGCTTTGGGAGTCATTATAGAGAAGTACGACATCTCCGAAGATGTGGCTGGAGCAACATTTATGGCGGCAGGTGGAAGTGCTCCAGAATTCTTCACAAGCATTATCGGTGTTTTTCTGGCAAAGAGTAATGTCGGTATTGGAACTATAGTGGGATCTGCTGTTTTTAATATTCTTTTTGTTATTGGGATGTGTGCAGTGTTTAGTAAACAACTGTTAATATTGACTTGGTGGCCTTTGTTTCGAGATGTCACTTTCTATAGTATCGACCTTATAGTGTTAATTGGATTTTTTTCGGACAATGAAATTACATGGTGGGAGGCGCTCATTTTGTTTTTCTTATATCTTGCCTATGTGATTTTCATGAAATTCAACGAAAACATTGAGCGATTTGTCAAAGGCTGTACAAAGAAGACGTCCATGAACAAGGTGGCAAGCACAGACACTTTACTCAAACAGGTGAGTAGGAATACCTTCTTGTTTTGTAGTCAAACCATTACTTGCAGACATCTTGGTTCCATGTCTAGGGTATAGGATCAGACACCAGTTCCACAAAGCTTTTTTCGTTATATGATTGTTGTATTGAAATTCAACACAAGCACTATTTTCAGTGCCAAAAATGACATTGGCAAAATACCTGTAGGTATAAGATAACATATTCTTTTATTATTGTGTTACTTGTTAATTGTTAATTATGTGACATATTGACCTTTTTCAAGCGATTAAAGTTGTGATATGACTGACATACAGATCAAAATGTCAACCCAAACCATAAGTTTATGAAAAATTAAGCTTAATCCTTAAACTGCAGCAATAGTCAGGAATTGATCAGAAGAAAATAGATGGCCAAATACGCTGCTGTATAATTCAAATTTGAACAATTTTTCATATTACAATAAAGTCAGACTGTAATGGGGGTGGAGGCGTTACTGTAGTGATGTTTGGCCCCAAAATTCAGAAATTAATTGGTAGGTTGAAAAATAAAACAAACAAAAACTTAGTAGGGGAAAATAGAGTAGGGGAAGGAGGAATAGGGACAGACATACTTTTGAGTTAGCCCCCCTTCTGTACATCGGTCACAATTCGTCATAATTTGTTGTGTGAAGTTAGTAACATAAATTTCCAACAGGTTTTGATAATGGTATTTTAAACTGATTACAAAAGTAAATGATCTTTTGGGTTTTTAAAAAAATAATTTACTCATTTGTTAGTTTTTTCACATTTCAATTTTCGAGTCGGTGGATTCATAAACGAGTGAGTGAGGGAGTTGGGTTTAACGCCGCTTTTAACAGTATTCCAGTTATATCGCGGCGTGTCAGCTTAATGTGGGAGGAAAGCCCAAAGTGATGCAGGTCTCTGATGTTTACCACTTCGGTGAAACCCACGAGCACGGGTATGGTGCTGACAAACCTAGAAACATAATCTGGGCGAACCGGGATTCGAACCCACAATCATAGGTTTCTGGCATGCCAAAGGGGCGCAACACTGCACAGCGAATCGCGGCGCCTTAGACGACTGGGCCACCCGTGCCCCCGATTCATAAACAAACTATTTTAGGTTATCAAGAAGTACTTGATTAGTACTGTTTGTTTATATTTGCAGTTTGGGATGAGCTTAAATATGTCTTTGAATGCTATCAGCAATGTTCTAACTACCGTAATCGCAGCATTAAAAACCCTGCTCCAGTCAGCACCCCTGAACAACTTATAGACCAGTCTGTGAGCAATCTTTATAGGCGCCCTTATAAGGCCAAACATTTACATGAGACTTCCATCTTCTTTGTGTATATCACAGAATACAGTACAGAACAAGTATATAATTGCCCAGTAACTGTTATGGAAAAATGTTTTTACTTTCATCACTGTTTGAACTACGTATGTTCATAACTGCTCAGTCACTAAAAACAAATTTCACTTGTGTATTGTTTTAGTAAGCACCTCTTTAATAAGTTTTCTAAGCGCTTCGTACGGTGAATACAGCATGTCAAAGGCAGACTAGTGGGTGATAGCATGAACAACTTTCCATGCTGTTTTGATACAATATCAAATATCAGGCAAGTTTCATAAAGTATGTGATCCAGACAACCAGTTGTCGGACTTTCATTTTTGTGGAAGCCTCGGTGGCTGAGTGGGTTAGGCCACTGACTTTGTGTGCTGGCAAATAGGTGCCTCAGTCTCGCAGTGTGGGTTTAAATCAAGGACGGGACTCAACCCCCCAAAAGTATGAGAATCTGTACTTTACTAAGAAAGTGTTTGTATAAAGTTTGTTACATTTGACCACTTTCTAAATGGCATTGTGTGTTCAAAGATACACTTTAATACCATCCAATCCACAATAGTTCTCTTGGTTGAAACTGTTTTATTCAAAGTTGTCTGAACTGTGACTGTAGTATGGATCAGCTTCCAATGGTCGGTAGTTCAGAAAAGAAATGTTATCACTTAGAAAATGTATTACAGAACGTAGTCCTGCAGAACAAGATTATTGGATTCTAATGTTGGGCTTTCCAAATTGGGGGCATGGGTAGCCTAGTTGTCTAAGGTGCTGTGATTCGCTGTGCAGAGTTTGGGGCACGGTGGGCCCAGTCGTCTAAGGCACCGTGATTCGCTGTGCAAAGTTGCTTTCCTTGGGCACGCCAGAAACCTATGATTGTGGGTTAAAATCCCAGTTCGCTCCAGTTATGTTTCTGGGTTTGTCAGCACCAAAGCGGTGCCTGTGGGTTTCACCGAACTGGTAAACATCTGAGACCTGCATTACTTTGGGCTTTCCTCCCACAATAAGCTGACACGCCGTGATATAATTATAATTAATACTGGTTAAACCCAACTCACTCACTCACATTACAAATTACCATACCATGCCATCTAATATAGGTAAGCTTCTGTACCCTTGGTTCTTATTATGGTGTATGACTTCGAAGTATATTTAATTCAGTACTAAATACATTTCCTGCAGACACTTACAACTGAAACCCGTCATATCCTTGTGGTTTTGTGTGTACACTACTGTAACTAGACTAACATCTACACGCTCCATCGCAGTGGTGACTCAGCATAACACCACTGCCACAGGCTAATTTCCATATCACGTGACCGGACTTTTCTCTTGTTTGTAAACAAACACGCTTTTTTAGAAATCAGTATAGAACGGACTAATGCAAGTATTTGGGGGCGCTTAACATATTGTTTTGCATAACTATATAGATATGCTACTACAACTGCGACAGTGAGTTGCATGACAATATATATTTATGCATCAAAGTGACTGTGTCGCTAGCTCTCCGTTGGGCTTCGATGACAGCACGTGGAGCCGTACAACCAATGTAAACATAAGGATAACTACCCCAAAACAAGTAGATTTTTACGTATTTGCATACTTTCTCAATGAAAGTTAACCATTCTTTGACATTTGTTTATGAAAATGTGTAGACTTGTCAAACATGAAACGGATGAAAAGCATATGCAGTATCTTGAATGGACTGTGAAAGATGTGACGAATCGTCACATGGCGCTGGCCTGTGGCAGAGGTACTATGCTAGCTGGCTGCCGGCCGCATGGAACTCTGGGTAGGAGAGTGTAACATCTAGTCTCTGAAATGAACATATCGTACAGAAAAAAAACAGTTGTTCAGTTATCTTAATAAAAATATAATAAAAGGGAGCCCAGTGACTCTCTTCATTTCCTGATACTGCAGTTATCTAGACTTGCCAAACATTATAGACTTGCATGGGCTGTATTTGATATATATTTGTATCAGGGTCTGTAAAACACACTATACTGTAACCAGAACTCCTCTCAGCAATATCTGCTTCCTAAAAAGTTCAATATACATGTGCCTCATGCTGCAAAGAAGCATCGCCATGTGAATGGACTGGTTTCTGGCTCTCTATGCCTTGCATCATATTTATGATGTGAACAGTTGATTGTCAAAATTTGATGTAATTGGTTTCTTACCTCAGGATCTAAACAGAAAACATGGAGAATATGTTGCTATACCAAATCTATATAAATTGTCAACGTTAGAGTGAAGCAGGTCTTGATTTTCTTCCGAAACAGATTCTACTGGGTGTAAAAGACAAAATAGCAGTGAAAATTATATTAATAGATCACTGAAAATCAGTGATGACAAAGTGTTCACAAAAAGGGTAAGCATGTCCTGATAAGAATGGCAACATTTTGAAATTTGATATTGCACCCTAAAAATGGCCAATTCTCATCACTTTGACATGGTCTGACAACACCTGAAGGTAGGCACCAAGCCCATTCAAATTTCTTTTCATGATAAAAACCAATGCTTCCCATACACATGCAATTGTAAATAGATGCAAATAATGCATAGATGTAGGTCGGGTTGAAGTTCAGACTGGCCATGTTTGATTTTCATTGATCATAATCTTGTTTCCAACAATGAAAGCCACATGTTGTAAGCCTGTTGACCTCAAGGAGGTTACATAGCTGGAATATTGCTGAGTGCAACGCTTAACAACATGCAGACAAAAAGGTCACAGAGGTCACAGAGGTCAGCACTGACAAAATAAAAAAAAATTCAAAAGAGAGAAAGGAAGACACTACAGGACATCATGAAGGTATTAGCAAGTGCAGTAGATAGACAATATGTCTCACTTGTAAACAGGGTAAAAGACTTCAGTTGTTGATCAATGGAATAATAACAATCACCAGACTATTTTCCCTTTTTTTTTCATGGTCATGAATTCAAAAATTATTTTAAAAAAAAATTCAAACTTTTTGCAGATGAATGGGAAAATATGCATTTCTTTAACAATCAACTCAAACAAATGGGAAATTTGTTCTTTGTGTAACGTCATGTTGCCATTAGTATCATACATTCAAAAGCTGACCAGCATGATCAAAACACAAGTTTGTTCCTTCGTAACTGAACACAACCCAGGCATCCAGGGTTCTTCCTTAAGATCTCTACTGCTTATACCAGGAGAACAGTATATAGTCACGTCATTACATTGGATCAATTTCCCGACCGAGGAGACTAAACAACACAAATCTTTGATCAATTTGAAAGTATTGATTGTACTAAATGGTAAGTGAACTTGGATACCAACAACCATCGGTAACCATTTAATGACAACAACAGTTTCTACCGTCGCACTTAGAGGTCACCTTCACATGTGTTACCGGGGTCGTTCAGTGCCCAGTATTCAAACCAGGCAGGATAATTATTTATCTCAATTTCCAGTAAATGGCATTGATTTTTTTAATAACGTGTAACCATGGCAACATATGTTAAAGTGGGTGATGTTAACTTTTGCTTTGTCATAAACGACATTGTGAAGATGATGAATCGTTGGATTGATCTCGTGCCACCAGAATCGTTCATAGTTTGTCTTTTGTCTCTGTTTCATGCTGTTCTACAAAGACTTAGCATCTTAGCATCTTACTAACATCCTTAGCTAAACTGACAACCAAGACAATGTTAAACCAAATGAA